CTTCGGGCTTTGCTTGATGGGGCCATAGTTATGCAAACATAGCTATGCTAATTGATTGGTTATATTTAGTTATAGTTAATTGATTCAATCCATCCGTTCTTCTCTTATGTCTAATCTGAAAGACTCGATTTAGCTTCGCACAGAAGTTTGTGGTGAATAGGATGCATTGGTAGATTTTGCATATATATAATACCTTACTAAATCCCAGACATCGCCCTAACCCTAAAGTAAACGAACTTAAATTTTTTTTCCGGTCATATAAGATAAAGATCGAAAATCATGTGACTGCGCCCTTTTGCTAATTTAGTCATTGTACGTATCGGGTATACAGTATATTATTAAAAGAGTAAAATTATAACTTTTTTTTTACATAATAACCTTAGATGCTTTTGTAATTATTATACCTAAATTTTGGTTAATTAAATTTTTTTTTTAAATCTGAACAATGAATTTTTTTAAAAAAAATATTAAATCAAGAAATTTTTTTTACAAATAAGTTATATAAAATACTCAAGTACTATATATATATTTTTGATTGATTAATATATAAAAATTTGAGCTATTGTATTTAATTTAAAGTGTACCAGGATGGTGTCGCTTAATGAAATTACCAATATGCAAAATATAAAGCTATTCTCAACATATACTAAATGAAATAAAATCAAAAATAAAATACTTTCAGTTATTATATTATGTATATTTTATACTGTAATCACTTTTTCAACTTTTTTATTATATATTAGTGGTTTACCAAGATGTGCAATTTTTCCATGACCAGCTGGTAAAACCTTCATTATTTTATTCGAATGTTGAATAAACCTCAAAAATATAACATATTTTTTAGCAATTAGTTTTCTTGCAATATGTACAGTACTATATTTACTTTCATTTTTTCTTTGAAAAGTAATAGGTATTAAAAACTAATAAGCAACATTTTGTTATAGAGCTTTAACAATCATTACATCAGTAGCTTGGTTTGTTCTACCAAGTAAGTTTTTAAACCTTTAGAGTGACTAATTTACAGTATTAAAAAGTAACATTTTTAAACCTAGCTATTTACACCATCTTCACTATACATGAAATTAATCCGATCCCATTTGATTGTGAGTATTAAGAAGTGATTACTCAAATATATTAATATAAAAGTAGTAGAAAGATATGGTAAAACAAGAAAAAATAGAGAGTTTTCAAATATAGTTAGTTAAAACACAAAAACCAGAATACAGTATGTATAAAATATATAAAATACTTCTAGTAAATTTAAATTATAGCTGAATATTTTTAGTTGTATAATTGATCGATTCAATCCGAACATATGACTTGAGTTACCAAATCAATCTTGATTCGGGCCTTAACTTAAAAAAGTGCTAAGCCTGCTACTTCAAGATTTTATGGCACTATATGTTAACTTATGTTTAATAAGGATTGTTATTTTTTGAGCTTTAAAAAAAATCAAAATTAGCCGAGCTAAATTAGCTCAAAAAAAAAACACATTCATCTGCCTTTGCATCAGTATAATGATATAACAATATATTTTAAGAGTTTTTGAGTTATGTATTAAATCACCTTTTTATTCACCTCTTAATGCGAAAAAATTTTTAATCAACATATTTTAAAAATAAGTCATTATCTCCACTATTACATAATATATAGATTTCTAATACATAACGAAGAATATTAATGACGTAATTTAAGAAACTATCAAGGGTCATCAATTGACATCATAATTATTAAATTTTTAATCAAAGAAACTCTAGTCAAATTGTAATAAAATATAAATAATTGTACTGGAATTTTTTTCTTTTTATTTTATTCGAAAAAATCGACTCTCTTTATATTGTTAAAAAAAACAATGTTTGAAACCGTAAATAATAAAGAAGAGATTATTAAAGTTTCAATCAATTTAATTTGGAAAGCATCAGATGGAAAAGTTGTTTCCGTTAGTTTCAATGATCAATTACGATCAGCAACAATTGCCTTTGATAATGGCACTAATACTACCGTAAATTTGAACGCTCTGGGAGTAATTCTTATGAATGAAGAAACCTTTAGAAAGATAATAACCGAGTTTGCTAGAAAAGAATCTGAAGAACCTGCTTTAATTGAAGTAAGTATTAATAGATCTTTATAATTGATCAATGTTTTTGATACTCATAAAATGAAAACTTAGGGAATTCAAGATCATGATGAATGATCACGAAATTACTGGCGCAACAGTTGTAAAAGCTGCTCAACTGATAAATAAAATTTTTAAAAGTTCAAAAAGAATTAAGAAAGATAAAGTAAGAAGAAGTTTACTGTTTTATAGTTATCAGCTATTGATTGCTAATTTTGGTTTTGATTTCTGATATTGTTTTCTCTTGTCAAATTAATAAAGAATATGTTGAAATATCAAGACCAGGTAACAAAGTTTTAATCTATTAAATTAAAAACATATTTTAATCTTATTAAAACTTTAGCAAAGAGAAAGCGTTAATTATGAGCCTGAAAATAATGAGGAAACAGAAGAATCTATGACCAGTGACCTGAATGCTGTCTCCAGAATGCTTGAACAAATGAACCTAGCAAACAATAGTATACAAGCCGATGACATTGAATCTATTCAAGATAATGATCATGTAAGAATTTTCAACTAGTCGATTAATAAATTAAAATTATTAATACAAGAATTCCTCCTGGAAAATGGTATTGTAAGGAGTGTGAAAGTGTGAATTTAAAGAAATCAAAACGTAAAATGCGTGAAATAAGCATAAAAAAAAAATATATAAAAGATTGAAATCAAAAAATGCCAAAAAATATAAGGCAGAAGACAGTCAAAACATAGTTAAATATTCAAAGAAAAAGGCAACGAGTCCTATTAAAAAAGCAAGACTTTATCAAATCCTTTGAGTATGTATTATCGTTTTGACTAATTTATGTATATTAAATGCTACATAAATAAATTTTTTATTTATAAAAATATGTAAAAATTATAGAAAAATTAACTCTGAATAATGGCTCAATTGAAAATAGAGTGGGAAGCATTAATTTTCCTTCTCCAATTGTTGTTATAGAAGAGGATGAACGATTTAGTGGTATACAAGTAAACTCTAGTGTGATAGCAAAATTTACTAGTCTGTTATTTATTTTGTTATTTTTAAAAAGCAAATGGATGAAACAGAGAATGTGCTAGCAACCCAAACGGATACTAATATTCAAGTAAGTAATAATCAAATTTCTACAAATTAAAAATAAATTTACAATCGCCACTAAAATTTATCAAATTACAAAGGAATCATTCACACAACTCAATAGCTTTAAAAGTTCAATTTCTCGAAATCCAACTTCTCCTCACTCAGTAAATCAAGTTGAAGGTTTAATTGAAGAAGATAATACT